CTTTTATATAAATATACAGCTAACGCTTATATATAATTGAAGTAATTATTATTTGATTTTAAATCCAAGTAAAATACTGTAAATATATATATAAATTTTTATGTGTATAAGTATGTGTGTAATACGTGTGTGTATAAAATTTCTTAAAATTAATTAATATGTGTATATTTATATTAAATGAAATAATTTTTAATACTGTTATTATTCTGAGATCAAATTTGAGACTAGAAAATGAAAATTCTATAATTGATTTTGCTTTTTACTTTTTTTTTTTTTTTTGAGATATTTAACACATTAAGTTTGAAAGAAAAGATTCTTTTGTTGAAGCTTTTCGTTTAGACCATGATGATCAATCTGTCATAAAAAAATACAAAAACGTAGGCCATTGATGATCAACGTGGCCTGAATGGAAAGTTTTATGGTTGATTATAAAAATTGGCATCATAACATTTAATGTGTTAAATACTATATATATATAACACACACACTGAACACTTATTACATGATAAAAAAATATTCACGATAAAAACGATATTTTATAAATATTCCTTCCATTCCTTTTTACATTATGATATGACAAAATGACAAAACATTATTTTAATATATTATAAATATGTTTACAAAATAGGAATGGAAAAAAAATGTAAATTATCGTTATGAATTTATGATAATTTCATGCATAAATTTGTGCATATTATTATAATCGTGTTTGTGTGTGTGTGTGTATAATTATAATAATAATAATGTAACACCATTATTATTGTTGCTTTTTTTTTCAAATAATATAAATTATAATATCATCGCTTTTTGTTGTGGTCTATTCGTCTTTTTGTTTATTACATGATGATAATAAATATAACGAGGGTTGAAAAATTCTAAAATAGAATTCTAATAAAATAAAAGAAATATATAGTTTGTAACAAATATTAGACCACAAATCAAAATAAAATCGTTGTTCATAAAATATATATATTTGTGTAGAGAGTATATATATATATATATATATATATATATATATATATATATATATATCTCTACACAAAGATTGATTACGATTACTTATTAAGTTTACAATATATATATATATAAGAAATGGAATATACTTATTATCACTTATTTTTGTTGTTGTTATTGTTACCGCTATTATAATATTATTAAAATGAATTATTAAAACTAATTTATAAATTAAACATGGCTGCTTTTGATAAGTAACTTACCCTTAATTCCACATACAATCGTCCAGTGATAAAAAACTTCACTGGAAAATCTATTTAAATTTATCTAAAAGATTATTTATATATATACAAATAAATTAAAAAGATTCTTTTAAAAATCAAAAACAAAAAGAATCGATAAACTATGCTACATTGTATGGTGGCGTAATAATAATAATAATAATAACAATAAATAATAATAATAATAATAATAATAATAATAATAATAATAATAATAATAATAATAATAATAATAATAATAATGATGATGATGAT